TATAGTTACTAAAATCTCACCGGGAGCTGTGAGAGGTCGTACTCGAACGCCAAGGTCATATGCAGTGAGATGAGTACCATGACATCATAGTTTTTATTTCTGAAAGAAAAGAGGATAATTATCTTTGGAAAACAATAGTACTAATTATAATGAGTAAATCATACTAAAATTTAAAACGCTTTATTCTGCATTCCTTAATTTTTCACTCATAAGTTGAACATTTTGAAAATAAATTTAATATAGACCGATCTGGGGTACAACCGGTTCAATGTCAACAATGTATTGAAACCTGTTCACAAATAACAGAGACATATGTAACATTTACATAAAGAGAATATGTCGATTTGATTTTTTGTGATTTTTTTTCTGTAAGTTACGCGCTAGTAAGGTTTTTAATGAATGTAGTTTATTATGTCTGTTTATAACACTTACTTATTTACTTATTTTACTAAACACCATTGACTGAATTGTTTCACCATATTTATCATCATCCTCCAAGCCTTTTCCCAAACTAGGTTGGTGTCGGTTGAACTAAACATAGAACTATTTATTTCATAAAAAAAATTTGCAGCCCGAGTGGCAGAATAAAGTCTTCCTAAGTGTTGATGTGTGTCTCAACTTCAGATACGAAATATTAAAACGCAAAACATTGGCAGAAAGTGGTCGACCTTAAGATAGTCGAGTTGATTAGATTTGTGCACTGTCACCTTGTTGCTCAATTCGTCGAGAATATAGGATTACATGCATTCGTGTTCTTTAAAAGCCTTAAATATTATGGCGATAGATATGTTCAAGAGGATGCTGCAGTCACCACAGTAACTTTTTATTAGTATGTTATTTTAGTTTGTACCACTTGTTTTAGAAATAATTATTTCAAATTTACTTGTTTAAGAGATTTTCCGTAATTATTTAACGGAAGGATGAAGGAATGTACTTTATTTTAAATAAGTGCATATCAACTTGCTCCATAGAAGCTGCATAGAAAAAACATTACCACAATACCTACTCGTTTCTGCATATGACAACTTTGCAGTAGTTTTGGCTATGTCAAACTGTAGTCTTCGTGCCTTTCATAAACATGACTTTCATCCATGCTCAGAACTGTCGTTTCTCGAAAAGTGGTAACAAGACATTGAAAAGTATAGGATAGATGGAATTTTCATTAGGAGGTCTTTCTTTTAAATATATTTAAATTTTAACCTAATTTACACTTGTAATGTTACAATTCTACGAAATGCTAATTCACTTTTTGCGTCATTGTTAAAGCTTATCCTTGATCCGTGATCATTTCGTTTGCCAATTTATCTGCACACAACAATGACATCGATTATTTGTTTGCAAAATGATTTATCTTGCGGTCGTATAACACATAATATGTGATGATTACTATCTTGTGGTTTCTATAAGTATAAATAAATAGTATCACGTAGCTTGTTCTATGGCGTCAATTCTCGTACACATATATACTACTTCTCTAACTGGAGAAGTAGTATATATATGTGTGTGTGTGTACAGAGACATTACTTCTCTAGTTTATGATCTTGGTTTAACTGATTGTAAATTTTACTTCATCTTTTGTATGTAACAATTATGTTGATTATTAATTTTATAATAAACGAAAAGCATACATATTATGTACTTATTCTATTATTTTCAAGATATTGTATACAATATAAACAATTTTCATTAGTGTTGTTGTTATTTATTCATCATATCACCATTAATATTATTTATTTTATTCCTTTTTAAATTGACTAACTTTCTTTTGACTGGCGGGCGGTTTCGTTGATTTTCTTTAACCAATGCAAGATGTACATGATATAAACGCCATCGCATATTGCGTCTTTATTTATACATAGTCAAAAACACAGCACCTTTACTGTATCTTTGACTACAGACTATAGAATTACAGATATATCCAACTAAAGTTAATAAAATATTGTTTATTGTTTCTGCCAGAACATTAGCATTATTAGTAACGTTTTAATAATTATTTTAGATTAGATATTCCCCAGAAGCATAGTTTTGTCTTTAAACAATTTTGAAATGTTTTGATTAACATTGACTATTATACCAACCCGTCTGGCCAGCGTGGTACAGTAGGCCAAAACCTCCTTTCTAAGGAGAGGCCTATGTCCAGCAGTGGACTAATAAAGGCTGTTGATGATGATGATGATGATTATAACTTTAATAATATTTAAAAAATAAATCAGATGCTTGCTGTGATTTCTATTCATATCTGGAACTTAACAAAAAATGCAAGGTTTCTTGATTTAAATAAATATTAAAGCCGTCAAATTTGATACTTTACATCAGACCTTAAACCATATTTGAATGTACCAAATAGCAAAAATATAGGTTTATTACGTAATAACAGAAATTAAAACTGGCTTCCAGGTAGCAGACTAGGTTAGCTTTAACTTGTCTGGTCGGGGAAAACTTAATATCAATTCAACTACCAAATTTACTTTGAATTTCTGGCATCTAAAATCTTTAATCTTTTATTAAATTAGATGTATGGATTTTACTAGACTAGATTTGTTCTCGGTATTACCTTAAACTTTACCAGTATTATATAATCTAATTAACTAATTATTTAAGCATTTTCTTGGTATTGAGATTTTTTTTGTTTTACGAATAGTTATATTTAAATATATGGAATCAAATTAGTTAAGGAGACAAAGTTTTCTTATGGTCTAATCCATCAAATATACTATGAAGTCGAATAAACTTGTCATTTTATTAATAAATAACTATAAGATGTTAAGAACTAAATAAATAAACTAGTTTGTGTGTTAAATTCATCACTGTGAGTAAAACTAAGACATACCTACATGATGTTAACTCAGATAAAATCATGCACCGGTGCAACATATGCATGTGCAAGCGTGCAGCAAGTGATAATAATTTAAACAAAAACTAGAGCGCAACTCATGGAAGAAATCCACGAAAATTTTTGTTTAACTTTGAACTGGCCTGTGAACTGGCCACTCAAATAATAAGGGAAAAAATAAAGTAAGGGTTACTTTATTTTTTCCCTTATTATTTGAGTGGCCAGTTCACAGGCTACAAGGCGGATATACGGATACGAAACCCGGCCAGGTGTCGAGTACCTGCAGTATCGATTTTACTTAGCTTAATTTATCTTCTTCTATTGTCCATTATATTTTCAAGGAGAGTTGGTATTGTCAAGCAGGTGGTTGGCAATGAAAGAAACTTTCAATTTTTTTGTACCGACATTAAGAACACCGCATAAGTTTAAAAACAATATTGATTGAAATATTCTATATTTAGACGACTAATCAACCTGATATAATATCATCAATAACTTTTGAACGTAAAATCAAAATCACTTCAAATATAACCGCTTACAGTGCCTCTGAGAGTTACGTAATATTATGGGAGCCCGTAGCGTGACTGCTCACGTAAGAGCTAACAAATAAAATTACGAGTACAATGTTTATTTTATGGTTGTCCGTACATTCACAACTCCTTACATTTAAGTACTGTGGAAAACGTATTTTTTTGCCAAATGAACAATAATTTAGATCGTGCTAACTTGTGCGTGGCGTTGGCATTTGATATGAACATAGCCATATGAAGTATTTAATATAAGCAAACAGAAGTCTCTAAGCCAGTGGTTTGCTGTTGAAATTATGTAAATAATATGTATATTCTGTAGTTTAGTTACACTAAGGCTGTAAAGATTTAAAATATTTCTAAGAGATTTATTTTTTGTAAAGAATAACTTAAAATGTTTATTAAGAACAGACACATAGTAGAACTTAATAATTAATTACCGTATATACATATGTGAGTATATGATAAGGAAAATGTAAAGGTCACAATATTCCAACAATAAGTATTTTAGGAAATTAAACTCAAAGATGTAAAGACTGAGTGCGATAATTTGCATGTGAACATGTTGTCTAATGTAACATATTTATATTACTGAAATCCGAGCCACCAACAAGGTATACCTACGTATGCGCGACGTAAAAACAATTCTATTGTTCGATTCATAATTATTGCAAAACCTCTATAAGCAAAAAGTTTTCAATGAATATTGTTACAAGACCTGCAGTAAGGTTAATGTTGTTAAATGAAATGACCTCAATCTTAAATCAATGATCTATCCACTTGAACAACTCGAGTACTTTTTTTGTACTTTATAAACGAAAAATCTAATTGGAATTATGATTTATTAAAAATAATAAAAGTTACGAGAAACAATGCATTTTAAATGTCACAACACACGTGGAAAAGAAAGAAGACCGGTATCACAAAAATTAACATATTTGAATGATTCAATAAGATCCACATCACAATCACTGAAATACGTATTACAGACATGAATTGATAAATTGGTGACATGTCTATGTGCTGATGAGTTAAGAATGCGGAGTATCGCCATCCCTGTTCAGCCCGTGGGTGTCGTAAGTGCCTACTAAGGGAGCAAACTATGCAGGATAATAGCACTGCAAAGATAAGTAAAACTTGAAAAAATCCCTATACCAACCCGTCTGGCCGTCTTGGTACAGTAGCCGAAAACCTTTTTTCTAAGGACTTATGTTGAGCAGTGGACTATTAAAGGCTTTTGATGACAAATATTTAAAAAGTTAATACTTAGGTAACGAAATAAAACTGATCCCTACGGGTGTAATAAATATTCATAGTAAAATGAATATCTAGATCTTGAAACATGACAGTTGTCTAAACCAAAGTAGTATTATTAATGGACCTTATGTTTTTTCATTATTAAATCTGTTGTCGTGCGCAAAGAATGACTGAGACATTTGTAACATTTATTTCTATTTACCTACGTAGATAATTGTCACATCAAGTGCTGTGATATCTCAAGTTTCATTTATCTAATTCTCAGAAGGATAAACGCTACGCGATAAAATATCTGCATCTGCATTTATATAGTTTACTTATAAATGCTTGACATCTTTTCAGGTAATATACGAGTAATATCAAAGTCTTGAAGATACACTGCAATGCTACCAAGATGGCGACAAACAATATCAAGGCGTAAGTATAATCCAAGCAATTATGTTATATTTCATGATTATTTTTGCAATCCAATGTAACTCTCCTTACTATTACTATATTTTTACTATAAATTACTTTTTACCGCCAAAATTACTTAAGAGATTATCATGAAATTTTGGCATTTCATCGAGCGCTATGCAGCTAGTACGAATTCTGCAGTGATACTTTTAAATTTAATGATTTATATCACTATCGTAATATAATCTATTTATTTATTTCTCCTCACAAAATAACAAAAAAAAGAAGTAACAAAAAAAAGTAACAGTTTTTAAAATTATAATTTTCTTAAAGTAAAGCTATAACTCCCATATAGTTCCCTCTATACATATAATTTTGTGAGGAACTGGTGTCAGGTTTAAGTTAAAAACCACCACCCATTTGTTTAATAGTCATTACATATGATTATTTATTGTTTTTTAAAATACGGTACATGTACTCATAAAAAGTGATAGATAGACTCTATTAGTGACCAGAAATAACACATTATGCAAAATTTGATAATAATCGATTGAGTAGTTAGGGAACAAATTAACACTCGGCTTTTAGAAAATAGTCAACATTTAATTGCACAATATAAATAATAATATATTAATTTTACAAATACACACATGCAACTCTTTAAGAGTTACAATTTTGTTGACTAAACCATTGGAATATAACTGTTACTTACAGATAATATATAAATTAGGTGTTTTTTTTATAAGATTACTTACCCACACAGAATCATAATGTCATTACCATCATTGTTAAAAGATGTAAATATGATCACGGACCTAATATTTACCCTTAAGGTATCTTTTTATATCTAAGTTCATTGTGATTACATGTTTCCACTACAAATGCGACTACATAAATCTATTTTCTCCTCTTAGTGTTCCTAATTCCCCAGCGGTATGTCCTGGGCATTATGGGATTGCTTGCTGTGTGCAGCGCATACACGATGCGAGTGTGCCTCAACCTTGCTGTCACGCAGATGGTCAACAACACGAATTCAGGTTCAGACTTTGTTGACCCTAATGCCTGCCCAGATGAGAGTGAGTTCATCACAAATGCAACGTCGAGCTCTAGGCCTGTGAGTTTAACATTGGATTTGGATTTTATAAGTTAATTTCAATATTATATTTTAGGTTTAATGTTCTGTATTTTGCAAAAAGAAAAACATGAATTTAAAAAAATCACATTGGAAGTAAATTTGAAATTGAATTTGAATTGAATTTAAAATACCAAATTTAGTATTATATTGACAATACCTGAAGCATCTGGTAAAACATTAATGTTTAGGGTTTCGTCATCTTAATAAGGAAACATTACAGTTTCACCGTGTCTGTTTATGTGTCCGTCCGTGGCTTAGATTATAGTCTGTTTGCATCAGTAACATTACAAGTTGGGTTTTATTTACGTGATAATATTATAAAAACACCAGTAAAAAAAAAACCATACCTACATGTAAATTAAGGATCTTTTTTATCTAATACTATGTATGTATTATAGCATCCCGTAGTCCCTCAGACTTACTAAGTTCACTTTCAGGATATTATCTATATACTAACTATACTATATAACTAAGTATCTTAATAACTAATAAAAATATTAAAATGTAAAGTGGGCGACTTTGTTAGAGTCAAGTGTGCCCGACAAGCTAAAGTGTTGGCTTGAAATAAAAAAAAACAATTGTTCACTTTTCCTTTTAACCTAGCTAAACATTAGTTAGGTTAGATTGGAAGATAAATATAATTTATATAATTATTAATATTTAGTAAAGTAAAATTCCTTACTCATCAATACTCGTAATTTTGTTTGGGTTTGGCACATTGCAAAAGACTGAGGGACGATTTTCAGACGATATGAAGAAAGAATTCATATTAAGGAAAGGAAAAGGTCTAGGGACAGGAATAGGGTCTCTTAACCATATGTCGATCAATTAATTGGAGATGCTATTAAAAAAGATACTTGACCGGTTTTTTTTAAATTACTCCATGAGTCATATAAATTGATGTACGTGTTAGAACCGTGACACATTAATGTTTCAAAGACCATTTAAATATTATCATTAACACGGATATTTAAAAAATTACTTGCAAGTGGCTCCTACGACAAAAAAAATTGAAATGTTTACAATATTGTGAATATTAACAATTGGCACCATAATCTGCAATGTAAACGGATAACACCAAAATCTTAGTATTGAATTTAAAAATTAGATCTATCTACAGCTTCTAAATTGTTGTCACAGCCGGCTTGGTATTATTGCGAGCATGGGTCACGATTCACAAATAAACTGTTTAGTGTGTAATATATATAAATATAATGATAATTAAAATACTTGCGGCCTTATAGTAGTATTCCACATTAACAAGTTTCTAATCTATTCAATTTTTGTAATATTTTCCATACTTTATTTGGCTTGGTTTATTCCTTGTCCGACTTGTTTATATACTTAATATCTCTAAGAATTTCTTTTAAGTTGACACAAATATTTTGAGGAGTTTTAGTGTTAAAAGTTTTTGTAAACAATATTTTATGTATAAACATAGTTAAATTAACATATCACAAGTGATTTTAAGATCCAGAAATTTTGATTATATCCTCTTAAAACTACTGAAGTTTACACAATTCTTTCGTCGAATTTACTTTTAAAATAATTTAGCTTATCATTTTACCAAAAAAAAATGTTATTTACTTCCAATCATAATAACAATGGGTCCTTTTTTGCTAACGTATTCTTTTTTAAGGAATTAAAAGAAGATGTTCGGATAGTTATAAAATTCGATGGCTTTCTAATTCCGAATTTTGATTTGTATGTGGTCTTTTTTTTTTTTTTTTTTGACGGGGTGGAAAATCCCTTCGGATCTCCTGCTCCTCGGGAACTATGAGCCAGCCGGCGGCCGACGGCCGGCCTCAGGTTTCTTACTCTGGGGAGGACCCGGACCATGTTATTTCAGGTCCACCCCGAATTGACACCATGCCTAATCAGGCCCTAACCCAGGGGAGAACACTTCCCACAACAATCGCGGCATGGCGGCCCGATCGCATCTTAATGCAATCAGGCCGGCCATTCCATGCCCTACCGCAGCAATCAATTTGCCACCAGAGGTCCCCTCTCTGGCGGCCTGCGGCGCCAGTATGTGGCCCTAGATCTAAGAACCGCGTAGTAAAATATAATAATTATAAAGAATTTTAACTCGTATATTTACTAAATCATGAAAAGCTTCGCAATCAGATTTTATTTAATTGAAATAATAATTCATTTTTACAGTATGCTATATTTGACTGGTCGGAATCCACTCAAGGACTAATACTCAGCGGGTTTTACTATGGGTACGCTTTAACGCACGTCCCAGGAGGATATTTAGCTGAAAGATATGGAGGAAAATGGACTTTGGGAGTTGGTCTCTTAAGTACAGCTATATTTACACTACTCACACCAGTGGTAGTGAAAGCTGGAGGTGCTACTTGGCTATTTATCCTTCGAGTCTTACAAGGAATGGGTGAGGTAAGATCAACTTGCATATTTTTGTAATTAACCAAATTATTTTAAGAGGTTTATGTTAAAATGTTATTTCTCTTACCCAACTGAGCCAGAAGGAGCTGACACTGATACACACCTAAAAATATTACGCATATACCTTTAAGGCTAGGCTATATTTTCCTTTCCTCCTTCCTTAAAGATGGGAGATCTTTTCTTAAGAAAATTGTAAAAAAGAGTAATTAATTTTCAAGGCAGCTAAATCATTATAAATTATAATTACCTGCATTCTTAATCTCTTAATAGTTTTTAACGAGAATCTAACCTCATTACTCATCATACTACTCAGATATTAGTTTTATGGTTTTCATTACTTACAAAATAATTCGCGAGGCTGTATGTATAATATTTTGTTAGACATATCTAATACAGGCATATAATAGATATATTACATCCAGACACTACAAATGATCGTGATCACCACACAGTAATTTTTCCTAGGCCCACCTAGGAAAAATTACTGTGTGGTGATCACGATCATTTGTAGTGTCTGTAGTCGAACCAAAATCACTAACCACTAGACCAACATGGTGAAATTATATTCGTGTCATGATAATATTCCTTATCTAAAGATCAGTTACATGATCGAAACTGATTATTTACATCTAAATTTTCCTTTAAATTTATAAAGGATAGAAGGTATGTTTAGCACCGACCGGTTGCAATTAGTATTATCTTTTTTTTTTTTTTTTTTTTCCGTGCGGAAATCCCCTCGGATACCACCTGTCGGTGGCATGTCGGACTCGAACCGACTAAAACCGCACGCCGTCGCCGGGTACTAATAGCCGGGGAACCAGGTATACCCTAGAAAGGAAGTCCCTGGTGCCCCGACATACCTCGGGTCATCTACAGACGAGTAGACGACCCCCCCGTGTGGGAACCCCATGTTCCCTGTGCTCCCTGGAAGCGAGCGCGCTTCGCAACGCGCTCGCCGCCACCCCGGCCTGCTTCTGCTAGGGTGACAGATGGCCTCACCTGTCACCCCCAGGCCTGCGCATGGAGGACGGAGGTCGTTCTGCGACCTCCGGCGCCTGAGTCGCCTTCGGTGCCTGGCCCGTGCCCGGGCCTGGCGGGCCGGGAGAGTTCTAAACCTCTCCCGGTCCCGCTCCGCCGTCTCCTTCGCGAGCATAACTTGCTCGCAGAAGGAGACGGCAGAGTTCCACGCACTCTCGCTCCGCACGATAGCTGCAATCAGGCTATCGAGCGAGAGAACTCCCACTCCGATGGCCGCCACGAGGTCTCGCCTCTGCTCAACCCACGCCGGGCACTCTGCCAGCGTGTGGAGAGTCGTGTCCACGGTCTGACCATCGCAGTGGTGGCACTCAGGCGTTGGCTCCTTGCGGATCAGACACAGGTGATCTCCGAAACATCCCTTCCCAGTGATCACCTGCGTCAATCGGTATGAGAGGGTCCCGTGACGCCTCTCGAGCCAATCTTCCATAACGGGTCTTACCGCCGCAATGACGGCGTGCCCGAGAAATTAGTACCTGACACTAACGCGAAAGGTCGCTTCACTCGACAACTGATAATATCCTAATTAGTTAAATATGTAATTAAAAATTTCAACATAAAATAATAACTGTAAAATAAAATTGCACTTGTGCGAAGTCGGGACGAATTGCTAGTTGACGAAACACCGTGTGAAGATCATAGTAATTTTATTTTTGCAAAAGAATAGATTAGGCGAAAAAATGCGGTCAGGCAGGTTTTGAAGAAAAACTAAATATAAAGATGAACATGTAAATAATGTTAGTGACGATACAATAACAAGATGTTTTTAAATAAGTTTATGTTTAGTTTTGCCCAAAGGTGGGTAATAAAATAGTTTTTTCTTTGTAGTATACGAATAAAACTGTAGATAAGAATAATACAGGTATAAACGTACTCTGGAAATAGTCTATAATTATGTATGTATCTTCGTTACTGAATTTGTATCACATAACTTTCGTAAAAATTATTTGCGTCGCACTGGTTTCAAATGTTCGTCACAATTAGCTTTTACAAATATAACGAAATTCCTGCATTGAAAATTATTTTCGTTTTGTTTAATTTTTGTACGCAAATTTATCTGTAGCATCATAAAAGTTTTAGATATAAACTTATGATCAATGGATTAATATAATCTACTGATATGTAGTTTAACTGCCTTTTAGACACCAAGCTTTAAAAAATATCATCAGAATTTATTTGATGACTTCAATGACGAGAGAAAAATTATTAATATCGTGTAAAAATTGTCGCAATGACCACAGCCTTGGTTTAATCAAAGTGAACTTTAGGGCTCCTCTCACGAATTACTCAAGGTCCCTGCTGCATTTTCTTGTATACGAAATTAAATGTTAGGCCCTGTTTAGTTTAGAATCAGACTGTGTGAACTGTGTAAGGTTATTATAAGTTATTGTATTATTATAATGACTTCAATTATATCCACCCAGGGATTTCGAGAACCTCATCACCAAAAATATTACTAGGCTAACAATGATGTTTTCACTTAATGAATATCAGTGGACACGTGCACCTTTGAACAAAATTATCAACAGGATCGACTAATAAAAGAAAACATTATTTCAGGGTCCCACGATGCCTGCTTTGATGATTATGCTCGCCAGATGGGTACCACCTCATGAACGGTCAAGACAAGGTGCTTTGGTGTTCGGTGGAGCTCAAATCGGAAATATATTTGGTTCCTTTATGTCCGGTTTCCTGATGGCCGGTGATGGGAATTGGGTCAACGTCTTCTACTTCTTTGGATGCTTTGGCATATTATGGTTCTTAGCATGGGTAAGTAATTTTAGTTTTGGTTTCATGAAAAATAAATTTCATGTACTTCATGAACGTAATAATGATAAATTATCGTCTGCGGTATATCCGGGCCGATACGACTTTCAAACCTTCAAGAAAAGAGCGTAATCCTTCCTCAAAGGCCGGAAACGCGCTTGTGACTCCTGAGTTGAGTTCATGGGCGGTGGTAGTCACTTTCCATCAGGTGACCCGTCTGCTAGTCTGCCACCCATATAATAAAATAAACTACGATGAAGCATTCTTTACCAGACAATCTACGGATATTGACTTCTATTTTAATACTATACTTTATCTGCCTATGTCTATATCTAATCATTTAACACAGCCCTATTTATATATATAAATGCTGATTTAACCTTAAAATGCGGCATCCACAAATGCCTTTAGAGGATGCTTATGTTCAGAAGTGGTCATGTTACAGATGAAGCTAGGCTCTACAAGTATAATTAGCGCTATAGTGCGATTTTATAGAGTAAATAATATTTTCTGATTATAGGTATTTGATAAAGATTTGTTCGCGTAAAATAATTCTTCATGATCGTATTTTGTTCATTTACTCGCCAAATATTTTCTAATATTTTATCGTATTTTTAAAATGTGACGTAACTAATGGAATGTGGTTTTTGGAATGCTTATTGTAAAACATTGTATTTTTCAAGAAAAATAAATAAATTTAAAAATTTAAAATAAATATTCAAAAAAATTATCAAATATTTTAAACAAAGGTTGTGATAGCATATTTACACAAAATGAGCAAGTTTGCTTGTTTAATTTTAAACAGCCTTGTAGACTTGTAGTAGAAATGTATTGCAATATTTTGTAGTTTTTGAATTTAAAGAAAGTCGAGTTTTTATTGTTATTAAATATTATTAAATAATTTTGAAAATAGAATGCTTAGTGAGATATAAAATGACGCAAGCGATAATTTGTCAGGCTTGGAAGAAGTGATAAAATCAAACTAATTAGACATTGCACAATACTTAAACGGCAGACATGACTTTCTAAAATGTGCATATAAAATGATAAAATAAACAAAAAATTTGATTTCAAAAAGAAATGGTAAAATAAACGTTTTATGTAGGTATTTGCATTTAAATGTTTTATAAAAATAATTTTAAATATACCAGAGTAAAACAATGTTCATTATTTAATTCTACGTTTGTACAAATTATATTAATTGCGTAACATTAATACCGGGTACATAACACGGCGAGTGAAGGTTATCGACTGCACTTTCAGTCAACATAGTCTAATCTCCTGTGACTGGAACTATAAAACACCAATAAGGTGTAATTTAAAGTTCGTTTAATCGAATAAGTCCTTCGCTCTTAAAAGTTTATACATTAAATACCATTTAGTCCTCAAAGACATAAAACGTATACTACGTTTAACTTAACGAAAACTAAAAGTAACAAGTAACAATAATGTTTGTTGTTTCACAGAAAAACGTTTAGATTTATGCTTTACTAACATAACTCGATGTACTATGTCCCCTAGATAGGGTTTAGGGTGTTCACAATACACCTCCTTTGCGATCAGTCACGAACGTTACGCTTGATTTCACTCTACACCTGATGTTATTCACGTCGTTTGCTATTGTCCGTCGCCAGGTTTGCTTAGAACTACTACGCTTACGTTTTCCTTAAAGATTAAAGATTTTTCCCTTAAATCCTGTGTCGCGGGGGACTTTACAAACATACCTGAAACAGACACAAAGAACACCCAAACTCAGAACAACAATTTATGGATCACCCAAAGTGTCGCCCCATGTGGGGATAGGACCCACAACACTCAGCGTAGTAGTAAGCGGCGTGGCGACCGCTGAAACCACTACGCTATCCGTGCAGTCAATGCAATGCCTGTTTCAGGATGTGATCATGGTGCATTTAGAGAGTATGATCAATCCAGTTCCATTTCCATGGAGTTAGATTGAAAACAGTTTTGTGAAGTTAAAACAACTTCAGTTAGGTTAAGGAATAAATTTAGGTTCAAGAGAACTCTCGTTCAAAATTTAATATGAGATTTACTTATAAAGGCCCTTGTTGTCATTGTATGTCTGCCCCGGTAGATAAATGCAGGCAGACAGTAATATGTCCACTTTTATTTATTTATGTAAACTTAATGCACATCTTGTACAAAGGTAGACTTAATGCCATGAGGCATTCTCTTCCAGTCGACCTTCAGGTGAGGTAAAAAATATGATGCGGTAGGTGCAAAGATACATCAAATTTGTCGTAGTACATAGTTTGGTAAATAAACGATAAGCCTACATTAGATATAACCAAAATACATAAATTCGTTACTACATGTATTATGATATTTACATATAAGTCCAGACGTATACAGACGTTGTGATGCGTTGTAACTGTTCTGCCAACTCATTCTGTAGAAGTTCGCATAGTTTTGACTTGAATGTAAGGCGGTTTGTTGACATCCTGATTTCAGCAGGGAGTTGCATTCTAGAGAAGTACTGAATACTGCACGTAGAAGGAAGAATTGATAAAATTGGAGGTGTGAGGGGAGCATAGAAGAAGCATATTATTTGTTGATCGAAGATTTCGGTCGTGATTGGAGCATAAGAAATGAAAGTGGGGAACGAGGCAATCAGGTATCAATGGAGAGCAGAGGAAAGCGGCGTTGACGAATTGGTAGTCACTGTAGCTGGGAGCGTAAAGCAGACACATGATCACACTTGCGAAGATTAAAAATGAATCGAATGCAGTTATTGAGAAGGCGATCTAGTTTATTGTGAAGGTCTGCATTCAGGTCAAAATAATACACATCACCATAGTCGGTCGACTGCATAAGCGTAGCCTTAGTTTTAAGCGAGGAGATATGTAGTTACTGTCTGGCTAACGTGTGTAACTTGTGGGTTGGTGGATATTGTATGCTCACCAATTAAGTGTCGAGTTTATATGTAACCCCAGGTTCTTTACCACTGGACTTAAAGGTATAATTACGTTATTGTCGACAACTGGTGGGATGTCTGTCATATCCAGCCTACTTAACATTTGTTTGATTCTCACGATGATCAATTGACTTTTGGTTGGATTTACTGACAAATGTCCTCAACCTTTGACTGTGTGTACACTGTCATCAACATTTATGATTGTTATGTATAATTAACGTACTTTATTTTGTAATTTTCAGAGCATTCTTTGCTTCAGCACACCCAATACGCATCCTTATATATCTGATGAAGAGTTAAAATATCTGAATGAAACGGTAACCAGTGCTGATAACAAGAGTGTTAGAGATCCTGTACCGTGGAAGGCGATTGTTAGATCTGTGCCTGTGTGGGCCCTACTATTTGCTGCTGTAAGTGTGTTTACATGCAATACGTAAGTGCGGAATTAGAATACGTACCCCATATTGCATAACACTTCGTTGTGTAATGCTAGAGGTATATAGCAGGAGGGGCATCGGCTTTATATAAAAAGGGACAAAGAAACGGGACCTACTAACAATAATTACCTGAAACATCTCACTCACGTCTACCTAATACCAAACTAGGCTGAGCCTATGCAGACTAAGGATATACATACCTGCTTATTATAAATAAATATCACCTATCGAGAAAAAATTCTTGTGCTCATGACACAACTAAGTAGTCTTGTGACTCATACTTTCGATTTTCGTTCGTATATCCTTGCTGTATTTCCTCCCGTGTTGCACTTAAATATTATTTTGATAAAAAATTGTGTTAAACAGAGTGTACTACAGAACGAGCTGCTGATATGATCTATGTAATACTCAAATGGTAGGTAATTACTTATCGCAAAACATGTGCTAACCTCAATGATCGAGGACGTGTGTACATAGACCTAGATACTTTTTTGTATCTGTTAATTAGATAACAAATGTAAGCCTAACTAAAAAATATTTACTAATCAATTTATCGTAGCAAAGTTCCTCAGAATGAACAAAAGAAGACTGCATCTTTGTAGATAGAAATAATAAATGTAGTAGTTACAATTTTTAATGCGTTTTGATTGCGTTTGTGTTAAAACATTTCAATTTGAATTTTTTATTAGAAATTCGCAATGTTTGTAAAGGCTTGAAAATATATATAGAATTCACTTGTAAACTGAAAACTATTTAAAATATTGTTTAATTTATTTAAAACATATAAAATATCTGGTAACTGGTAAAACTAAATAAGTAGTATACCCATTCAAATAATACAATAAGTATTTTCTTAGAAGTATAGAAGGAGTTCTGAAGTAACAAACATTAAAAAAACATCAGCTTTAACTCCTTTTTTGAGTGGAAAAAATACACTAAAAATATAAAATACATTAATTTACAGTAAATTAGCCTGTTGAAGTTATAATAGGAATGAACCTAATACAGTGCAAGTAATATTTAAAGTCGTGAAAGGTTTCATTAACCAATTGTGAAAAAACGGAGAAGACAAATATAACTCATTTAAGTGTCTGCTCACTGTTTCAGGCTTCTTTAAATTTTTAAACATTTTTTTAACCATGATTTCAGGCTTACACGATAGATATTTTTACACGTTTGATCTACTACTGATATAAAACACGAATCAAAAACTAAGAGTGTGTCGTTCATAGAAATTGGGATTAATCAGCAAAATTAATTAATTGGTTTGATTAGCTACATCCGGCTTGGATATGGTCCAGGTCCAGTATAACATAATTTGTTATTCATATTTTATGACTATGTCCGAGCCTGTAGCATAGACCGATAATGCAGATTTAATCATTCCCGTCTGTACAGAAGCTCTGATTTTTTTTATTGGCGTAACTTGCCTTACCGAAATTGAACAATATCAGAAACTTTTTATTATTCTTACTTTATAAATTAAATTGCCGATCTGAAATTCATTTCTTCTAATTTTTAGGTTGGTCACGATTGGGGCTACTACACAATGGTGACAGATCTACCAAAATACATGACTGATGTGCTGAAGTTCAACATCGCAGCGACAGGCACTTTGACAGCTATACCGTATCTAGCCATGTGGATAAGTTCGTTTATCTTCGGATGGGCGTGTGACGTTTGTGTCAAAAGAGAATGGCATAGTATTAAAACTGGCAGGATTATTCATACTACAATAGGTAATACATATTTTTATTTAATGCTTATTAAGTAAATTCTATTGATTGATTCTCTTGATTAGATAAGATATTTTATACGTTTACGGTAATAATCTTCCAATACAAACCTTCAGTTTAATTAAAAATATACCTACCATGAAAATAGTTATATTGCGTATAGTTTTAGTTTATTATGTATATACAAAAAGCCTTCTTATTTAATTACTATATATATATATATATATATATATATATATATATATATATATATATATAAATGATTGATTCTTAACAAATAAAAATAAATTAATATTAATTAATCCTAAAGCTTGCATAAATAGCCAACATTCAATAGTTAAAATGCTTTTAAAGAATTGTTGTTTTTTTCTTCTCCGCATGTGTCTCAAGCGCTATAAAATATACGCGTAAGTATAGCTACAAAATTGTTAAAAATCAAAAGCATATATTATCATTACATTAGGTTGAACCTTATCCATAAATGTTATCAAATTAGTTATCTTTCTAAGTAAGCTTTAGAAACGTTATTTTAATTATAATATTTATATCGGTAATGCGTTGTCAATAAATATAAAACAACGCATTTACAACCAAGTTGCACTCCTATAAAGGACAGCTTTTACCAACAACAAGGTAATAAACGACAGCAGTGATTACACAAGATTACAATGTTTTTATTTTGAAATTATGTCAATAAGAAAGGTGTTGCAGCTACATCACGAATATCAAACTAGGTGATCAGAATATGATAATAAAGAAACAATACATAAATAAATAACAGAGTAGGATTTATATACATTTTGTAACGCTTCCGTCAATTTTTATGCAAGTTAAGTGTAAAGGAAGTTATTAATGGAAGTTATATTGTCATTCTTACTATAACCAAGTTAAATAAAGAAGTGTCGACTTCGGTCGCATTGAACATGAGTTATAATTATTTTTCAAAGATGGGAATTACGAGAACGAATGCAAGTGAAATGTCAAAATAATTTAGTTATTATACGAGGAAAAGTGAGCAAACATTCCGTTACTTTTGCATGAATACGTTTGATAATAGTAGGTATAAAACATCTAATGAAGTCTAGACCTATTGCATATTTTATCAATGAACTACATAAGTAGTCAGTACACTCTGTAGGTACTTTAGTATAGTAAAGTAGTCATTTTTTTATTTTTTTTATTGTTTTACTTCAACTTAATTTGTGAACATGACATTACAATCTGTGTCCCCCAAAACGGTGTTGATGGTTTGACTGGAGGATCGAGTCTCCGTGCATTTTTGTATACAGTAATAAATGAGATATATATAAATAGTAATATACAGTATAATCTAGTAATTAAGATAAAAAATCTTTCAATAATACTCACGTAGTATTATAGTACATATATTTTGAGGATGTATATCATAATAACCACTGTCACTTATTTCAGTGACAAAATCTAATCTCAAACGGAAAGTAATAACTACAGTATAAAATACAACTACCTTTTACTTGTTTGTTCGAGATTCATTCTAAGTTTCCCACGACATTTTATGTAATATATCGGTGTTATATCTGTTCCAGCTGCCGTCGGGCCCGCAGTTTGTATTATATTGGCGTCATATGCGGGATGCGATCGGTTTGCCGCAGTTGCTTATTTCATCGCCTCTATGGCTCTCATGGGAGGCTTTTACAGTGGAATGAAGGTACTGAAGAAAATTTCCGATACGTGATTCTAAACTGAATAATGAATTGAATTTCTGTAGGGTTTTGTTGTTAACCGGCGAACCTTCCATTTTGTTTCCTCAAAATGTTTTTCTTCCATAATTAATGTAATTTATTACAAGTGTTTATTATTTAAAATGAAAGATGTAATTCAATAGACACTTTCTAATAGTTATTGGCAACAAAAGGCAGGTGCATTTTGTCAATATTTTCAAAATACAATGTTATTTTAAAATGTAAAACAAGAGACGCATAAAGTGTATAAAATTTTGTAAAAGGCTGATTGAAACAGTATATTAGTTTTCATCGCTGAATCCTAATTAACTTTAACAGCTATTGTATAATAAGATAATTTTTATAGAGATTTGGCAGTTGGCAAACAAACAAGAGCTGTAAGTAACACATATTGCATGTCCTTAGGTAAATGCCTTGGACTTGGCACCGAACTACGCGGGTTCCTTGACGGCCATGATCAATGGAACATCAACGATATCTGGGATCATCACGCCTTATTTAATAGGCCTTTTGACTCCTGATGTAAGTACCAACTCTTTAAATAGATCCAGGATCATTTACGTTGAAGTTTATGTACCTAGCTTAGAAATAATAGAAGTCAGTGATAAATTTTAGTCAGTTATCAAAAATTGAATTGAGCTTAGTTCCTCGTTAATTATTTTTTTTCACAAAAATGTATGAAGATTTTTAAATTCAAATGTGATGAGTGATATAATTTTCGATTTTCGGTAAAGACCGGTGACTTACGTGTAGTAGGTATTCCATTTCTCATTGGGTTAATAAACAAGCTTACTGCCCGAAGGGGGGAAGGATATTTTAACATCGGTGTAAAAAGATTTGCTTTTTACTCGTATTTCATCTCGTTTTTTGAGGATACGCAGAATCACAAGTATCAAAGAATATCCTGTTTTTTAAATATTATTAATTTTGTCTATTTTTTCTCTTCTGACCATGAGTAAGATTTGAATATGAGACATTTTATAATTATATGTATTATATGTAATTATAATAATAAATTAAACAACTTAAAACATTAGCTTTTATAAGCTAAAATTTTCGCGAGAATAATAATTTATTGAAAAGCATTTTCGATTCAGTGTCAAGGTAAAATAAATTTTCGACCAATTGAACGCCCCTGTTGTGTCAACTTGGACGTTTCGACCTTGCCAGTATTGTTAAAACTTCTCTTTAGAAGTTAATTTTAAACGATTTTCGTAAATAAATGTCTGCTAAGTAGAAGCAATATCTCACTACTCTTAAATGCATTGAAAACGACTGTTAATTTTATTCAGTAAAGTTATAAAACAATAATGTAAAATTTAATTTAAGATTTTTTTTATTAGTTAGTAGTTAGTTATGCATTTAATAATTAAATTAATCAAAGTTTCGAATATATTTTTTTAATTCTTATACAGGTACGTTTTAATACTAATTACAAATTTAATATTTTTAACAGTCAACACTAGGTCAATGGCGAGTGGCGTTCTGGGTATGCTTTGCGGTTTTAGTAGGGACAAACGTAATCTACATTATCTGGGCTGACGGCAAGCAGCAATGGTGGGATGACGTCCGACAATATGGCTATCCTGAGGGATGGAAGCATGGCCCATTAAAAATAGCCAACCGAGACACGGAGAAAAGCAAAAAGAAAGAAGCAAAAAAGTCGGCAAAATAAGTTAATTGAAAAATAAGGGATAAAGTCTATAGATCCAAATAAATGTGAAATATCCTCCTAGTACCACAATTAAGAAATGTTTTACAGATATTGGCATAGTCCTTGTTATGTTACATTACAATTGGTTAGGCAACGTGGGGCCAACACAGCCAATGTTGGTAATTAATTTCTTGCTAGGATTTTAATGATTGCCGTAATCTGGTTTTGAGCAATAATTTTTTATACTATCAATAATTTAAGCATTTAAAGTAATTTCTGACTTTCTGACATTCTGACTTTTTTATAAAAACCATGCAGACACGACTAATGTAATAAGCTCTTTTAGTGGCAAAAAATCCTGTAAACATGGAATGATAATAGCAAATAGAACGTTTGCTATTAAAATTGGTTTAAATGGGACCAAAAGTAGCCAAAATATTGTGAACTTGTTATTGCAATTTAAAATCACAGTAAAAAATTGTCTGGTACTTCATTCAAGTGTGGCTTCCCCTTTGTTTTTATTCTTTTGTCTTAGCTTATTGCTTATTAAATCTTAGTAAGTACAACTTTGGTGAAAGATGGGCAGTACAGCAGATAATATATATGACTAACATAATTAACTAGCTTGATTGTAAAATGTGATTAATTAAAAGGTAGAAGTGTCAATAAGTACGACCACTAATCACGATCTTTTAGTCAAATGGATTGACCATTGGTTCCAAGATATAATTTTAATATAATATGGTGATGACATTATAAATACAGTGTCTTCATTACCTTTGAATCTTTACATTTACTATAAATGGTTTAAAATAAATAAAATATAAGCAATAAGAACTAGGTAAAAATCGCACAAATTACTTAGGTAAGACAATACCTTAATAAGTAACTTCTTTAAAAATGTATGAAGTATCATCAGATATTTTATTCCTTATTCCTCTTCTTTAGTTTTGAATTGATTATATCTCATTTCAAGCATCAACAGTAGAAGTGCCTGATCTTTTGATTTTGAGTTTAATACCTAGTCAAGCTCTGTAGAAACATTTCTGTATTTTCTTTTTATTTGCATGTATTTGAAAGTCTAGAAGACCATCTTTATCGTACTTATTTTACGAGAATTTGTTCCCGAACAAACTTGTGTTAATTAGTCTAGTATTTATTTAGATTATTATAAAGACATATCGTAGCGGAACTACACGTGCCATCTTATTATCTGCATAATTCATGTGTCTAAAATGAAACATAATTTATTTAATATTATGTATTAATTTAAAAATATTATGTTTAAATTTATTAATTTATTAATATTCATGTGTATATTTGTTTACTTACCGACCTTTGCAACAAACTTTTATGTGTAGTGAGTTAATCATTTGAACTCAATTCAGGTGTTACGATTACTTCAAATGGGTAGGTCTTTTTGAGGGTTCCATGTTTTCGTTAGATAAAATGTAATACCTTGGTTAGTTTACAGTAATTACCTTAGATATTAAAACTGTTTGTAGTCATAAATGTACGTAACAGACAGATTTGTTCTTCTTACACCTAATACTTGTCGGACTAAGAGTAAGGAAGATTTTCAAGGATAAAAAAACCATCGATATTTTTTGTTATGAATTGATTCAAAAATTAACATAATGAAAATACACAATTTAAAAGTCCAACTTTACTTATTATCCTTATTTTCATAATTTTAACTTATTATTTAATATCAGCCTGGTCATCGTTGAGATTAGGTCGAAGTTCACCTATAAGAATTGTTGTATTTTAAATATTCATATTATAATATTGTATAATTTATTGAATACTTAATTAATATATGTTAATGAATAATTAATAAGGCCAGTTGACTTCCATGTCCTAGTGGCTTCCAATCATAGAACGGACATATGGGTACGCGTCCCCCGGTCTCAGGCCTATACGAACTACTGTAATCTCAGTCCCTTTTCAAATAAGAGACTTGTAGTATACCTTACCCTAGCTCCCTTGACCTATCCGTTTTCCTTCCTATCCGTTCTACCTATGCGTTATCCGTCTTCCTTTACCTCTTCCTTTATCCCGCCCAAGACCAGCCACAGCTTTTTAAAATCCCAAATAAATTTGGAAGAAGATGATATTAATATTACTCGTAATTGAACTATGAATACTAACGCCATTTACAGCATTACGTGGGATTCTTGTTCCCAGTCTTAAGTAATAGCTAGTAAACATTTTACATTAAGTATAAAATTAGTAATAAGTTAATTAGTACATGGCATTCCAAAATAGAATGTATTTTGTATATTAAAATGCAGCGAATGTGATATTGTATGTATGTATAATAGTTGTTTAGATAAACAACTGTAGAAATCCATGTGAATAATATATGAATAACTAGTGATAATAAAAATAACTAGTGTTAAGTACGTTCTGTAAATATTATGTTGATTCCTATGGTTTAGTATCCCTCAAGTTATTATTTCGGAAGTCAATTAGCATGTATGAAATAAAGTTTTTAAAATTTCTGAATTGTTTTACTTTTTGTATACTTCTTTAAAGTTCTTAGGGGCCATCCACCAATCACGCAATATCAATTTCATATTTATCAACTCAACTCCTATCATCATTAAAGGTTTCATCAACATTTTCAATCTTCACTTCGATGATAATTATGATTGTTATAGCAGTACTGATAAAAGTATGTTACTATCATACAAACTGCACAAAATAAAAATTAGTTAGGACACTCACAACTTCATTATCATCATCATTTCATGCATGAAACGTCCACTACTGGGGATTGGCATCCCTCAATAACTACAAGGGATAATATTTCAAAGTAGCCTGTATCCGCCAAAGACAAACGATCTTAAAAATAATCAAAGAACAATGGCAGAAATATATTTACCTAAAACTAAAGCGATAAATAAATAGACTTACAGTATATTACATATTTATAATAAATAATTTTAATAATAATATTTTTTCTTTGATTTATCATTACACCACCATGTATTGAATAAGTCTTAAAGAGATAGAATATATTTGAAGAACCTATTTGACCTAAGTACGTAATGTCAGATTCGTCACACGTAGAACTGACTGGGGATGCGCGATGGCATTATTATATTATGGAACATTTTATCGAAAATCACCTTTTATGATAATGAATTTGCTTCTACCCAACGGGTTCACTCGTACGGTAGAGTGACTAAATCAACATAATTAGAAATAATTTAGAATATTTTTGAATAGAATATGATTACGATATTTTGCCATGGAAAAAAACAACATACTAGTCAGAATGATGAGAAAAAACAATGAATGATGAAAAAAAGACATTTTCGATGATACCGGCACATAGATAGAGATACATCGATATTTTCAAAACGTCGATACATCGTCGTTTGGATGCTGTCGAGTTCCGCACTCACCTTGTCATACTTGTCATTTGACACTCACACGACCATTGCTTCTGACTTATGTGAATGTGTATGGAAATACATTTATTCGAATTATTGTTATTAATTAATTATTTATTTATTTATAGCTAGTATTACACCTGCTTAGTAAGCTAAGACGTTTTCTATTGTTTTACAAATACATGCCAAATAACCTCCACCCTTTTAGAGAGTCAGCTAACACTTTTAACAGCAAATAAGGTAGTTTATGAGTAATAATATAAATAATATTTTCAAACATCTGCCACACAACGCCATCTAGTTTCAAACTAAACATTGTTAATGTGTCAGTACTACCTCGAAATATTCAAAATCCAATATTTTTTTTCTAGACTTTTTTCCCTAGTAATTTTGTCATGAGAACGGTCAAGAATAAATTCTCAAGGGTTTTAGGATTTTTTGATATTTAAATGCTACAATTTTACTTCAAATAAAATTATGTATGGGGACCTACCATGTTCCATTATTTTCATTTACGAGAATGTCTATAGTTTTTGTTATTAGGTATTATCACCAAGGTCCGCGCAAGATTCTTTTTGACTGTCGACGAGAAAGTTTAGTTCTTTATGACATTTGAGATATCTGCGTTATTACTATGACTTTAGTTAGAATAATTTTAACGCCTAATAAAACTATTACAGCAATACCCCAAAGATGGATGACATGTGTTGCAAAGTAAAGTAATATGTGAAAACTGATAAGGTTTCAACAATTATATGGGAGTGGCACAGACAACCCCTAAATCCAGGCACCCAGATGAGACTTTAATCTAAAGTTACTAAGAAGGCAGATCACACCGAATCCCCTGGGGCGTTGCCCTAATTAGTGTTTAACGTCGCATCCTTAATTGTCAAGCTGTCGTAGTCCAAGAACTGTACTGAAGTTTCCTTAGCATACATCATTTGAATTAAATTAAAGTAGTCTGAGTCCTGTAGTCCTGAGTGAAGCCGTTTAAAAGCCACCAGATGATATTCAGATGCCATTGGAAATACAAGCCTTCTTCTTTTTCTATAAGCAAACACTTTAAGGAAAGGCTTAAGCGGGTGCACATCTCATCTGGATTTAGTTAACACACTAAAGTTAGGAACAACAGTTCGCTTTATACATTTTGTGAAAAAAAAAAACATAGATGAAACGCGTGATTAACAAAACAGGAATAATGTATGGGATATTCGTTGTTTATTCATAATTTGGGTCTTTTCCCCCACAGAGTTTTTAAAGTACGGTTTTAGTGCCGTTTTTAGTAAGATCAGAAATGGCAGGAATTTTTAGTTTGATCTAAGGGTAGTTAGAATCAGGTTAGCAATAATTCAAGGGAGGTTTGAGAGAGTTTATAACTTATACTTAACACCAACAGCGTATAGTCACATCAACACTTTACCCACAATTACGATCGGTGAAGTAACCATGTTAAGTAACAAGTTCTAATCACTGAACAATCAATGTGTAATAAACTAATCCGTAGAAGAGCTTAAACGTACAATGAAATTAAAGTTATACTTAAGACGCATTACTTGTACGATAGATCTACTTTGTATGACTCTAAGTTGGTAGCTATTTTAGTATCAACTTATCTAACTC